GATTGTCTAAGTATTCATTTTTTCTCTCTCTCTTTGAAGTAATTTGGATCAGTTTTTTTTTTTTTTTTTTTTTTTTTTCTTTTTCATTTTCCAATAAGTACCACTGGTAATTAGCAAGTAATGTTCTTATGGTTGATTTGGCTCCAGCATGAGCTTTAACATTAATGGTAGGGCCCTTTTTGAAAGTTGTACATAGCTTCTAAAAAGAGTAAACAGGTAAGTTTTATAATTAATATACATTTATATTATTTTGCATGATATAGGATATTCTATTGCAGAATTTCTTTCAACAAAGTGAGCTAGTTTACGATTACATTCAGCATGTGATTATATTTGTTTCTGTTCAAAGATGTGTATATTTGTTGGAATGAACTGGATAAACAAGTTGGCTGAGCAAAATTTATAAGACTTGATCTAAATGCTGAATACCAACTTTTTTATGGGATAGTTTAGTTTGAAATAACATAATACAAGAACAAGAGAGAAATATCAATGAATTTTGAACCGTGGAACGTGTGGTCTGGAAAATAAGTGGAAACCTGGTTTTCAGGTCAACAGTGATCAAGTGTAGAGTGTAATCACTTTAATGGCATAGCGTAGTTATGTCATATGGGTCTTATTACATTATAAATCCTAAGTTTACTAAAGAAATAAATTTCAAAATCAAAAGACATTCATTGGTAATCATGGTTTGTTTGAAGTGTCAGTATTTTAGATAGTGACATAAGTTGAATAACTTGTATGAATGCAAATGTAAAGATGATAGTATACTGCCTCTGGGATGGAAAGATAAAATGATTAACAGAATATTCTTTGATTGATGTTCAGATAAAGCATGAAAAAATAACTTTCTGTCTTTTAACTATCCTGTGTATAATATCGTGTAGAGTTGAATCCAACAGTGTATTTTTAGGTGTTGCTTTGTATTTGATCATAACATAATAGTCACCTTGTAAAATCATATATTGTCGTCACTACTGATTAAGACTCTTTGCCTTATTTGTCCATTAGAGTTGATTGGCTCTGAGTTTTAACATCTTGACCTATTTATAGTAAGTCACTTATTTGTACAAGAAACTATTTAAGTTGGAAAAATTGTGAACCTGTAAAACTTTGTGTATGTATTAACCAACCCCCTCATGGATCATCTTCAAGGCTACAGAAAAGCAGGATAAAACTCTTAGCCTTATTGTTATTTGATGCAAGACCATTTCTGATATTAAATTTCACTGGCAAGAGTGATGCAGCAACTCATGGAAAAGATATGACAGGAAAATGAAATGCAGGTGATATCTTGCAACATTTTGAAATAATCACTGGCCTGATAGCCCTGTAGTGTGGTTGATGTATTATATTGTTTTGTACTTTCACTCTGAACTTCTTAATCATTGTTCAGATGACCATACTTAAACTGCTACATGTGAAGACTGATTATTTCTTTTGTATACTCATGATAAGAAAAGCATTATCGTTCCCTGCCCAACACGCTTGTTAGTAGGAATAAATAGATTTTTGTTATGACACTGTTTTCAGTTGAATAAATCTTATTTTCAAAAGTCTAGGATGGAGAGGATATTCAACTTCCTAATAGGAGGATCATAAAGTATGTTCAGTAACTTAAGCCTTGAACATTTTGTACCAGACTAACAAATTTTATATCCTAAGTTTTTGAAACTGACAAATATCTTGATGTGCTTCCACACAGAAGTAACTTTTTGTAACAGTATTATTAAAATCCAAGAACTGTACACTGATATGCAAGTGGTATGTACAGACTGCCGAGTGGCTTTAAGTTAATTACTGTAGAGTAGAAGCCTGTGGAATAGCTTCTTTAATCTGTTAGCACAGCATTTGCCTATTGGACCAACACTGTTTATGTTTACTATAATTCTAAACTTTCAGTAATTATTGCAATCCTTTTGTACACAGAAAATCAATTGTTTTTGATAAAGTATTGTTAGTAAATATTTGTGTGTGAATTTATGAAGCCTTTACTGAGTCAATCTGAATGCAAGCTAATTTTAATTTTAAGAATAAAAAAGATACTTTTTCGTCTTGCAGTTTTCATACTTAATTTGTTTAATGTATAGAACCTTCTAAATAAATAACAAAAGTTTTTTGTTGTGTTTCACTAAATCTTTAAAATATTAGCAGGTTCTCCTACACCAATGTACTGCACAGTGTGAAGTTTGTGCACTTGAAACAAATAGCTATATAAGTCTAATGTTTTCTGTAAGTTTCTTGTCCAAAGAAAAATTTGTGTATTCTTTCGAATGTCCATTACAACAAAAAATGTATTATTCATTAGAATAGAATATCCCAAAATGATAATTTAATGAACTTTCTAACTAAGTTATAAATAGGGTAAAAAAAAAATTCCATTACTGCTATGAACAACAACTTTGCTTGCTCATACATCAGTCACTTTTTCACTAACATCTATTGGCACCAAATTCAAAAGTTGTAAGCTTCAAATAGAGAAGAAAAGCTCTTTCTGTATATAAACTTGTGCATCAAATTAGAACATGTTTTGAAAATTGTCTTGAAAGTTTTGAATAGATGGGCGATGCTTCTGTTGTGAATTGGAAAAGTATATTTGTCTCGGCAAATGGAGAAGTTAGGATGTACAAATTGTACATTTGACCTTGTCATTAGTTTTAGCTTGTGTTTATATTAGTCAGACACTGCAGAAGCTATACTATTGAAATTATACATACTACAAATGAAGATTGAGAATTTTGTAAAATATTTGGTTTTGAAATTGAGAATTAAAATTTAGGTAGTTTACAAATCAAATTTTTATATTCTGTTCTGATGCCAAGTGTATTGACATACATTAATAATAAAGTTTAAATTTTGAATGTAACTAAAACATCATGATATGTGCAGTTAATCAATGCTTGAGTATAAAGGCTAAGATGTGACAGAAGCTGCAACATTAAAGAAGTTTAAAGAAGAGATTGGATAAATATTTTAGAGATTTTGTTTGGATATTAAAAATATTTCTTTATATAGTTTGGAATAGGATTGTAGTAGAAAATGAGATAACCTTGAAACCTTATAGGGACTAAATGGGCTCCTTGTTACCTATTAGAAATGAAATACTTTAAAATCTTTATAGAAGAAAAGATTATAATAGTTTTGAGAAGTGAGATGCTTATTACATATGGTAAGTGTAGTTTATTTACATTTCGAAGATTTTGTCAGTGGTTAGTGTTAAGCTATAAATGGCAAATGTTTTTTTTGTTTTGTTTTGTTTTTAATAAATGCCAAACATTTAAAAGTAAGATTTTGTCATACAGTAATTTTGTAATGTGTTTCTGTAAGTTTTCTATAGGTATAGTTTATTAGTATTTTATTTGGTTTAAAACAGTACTTCAGTAACTATTCTCTGCAATGTTTTAACTCTCAAATTGAAGTAGTACGTTTTCATGTAAAATTTTAGTTTATATGTGTGTTTGCAGATGCCCAACATCAAACTGCAGAGCTCTGATGGAGAAATATTTGAAGTTGATGTCGAGATAGCTAAAGCTTCTGTAACAATCAAAACAATGTTGGAAGGTAGGTTTTGTGTGTGAACTGGAAAAGGTGTATTATGATAGAATTTAAAAGCTTTCCACTACATGTTTATGAAAAAAAACAACTGTTGGTAATGTAGCAGATAGTAACTAGTAATGTGTGTTTTTAGCTATAGTTGGCAGTTGTCTAGTCAGCCTCTAATTATTATTATTATTGTTGGTTTTAGTAATGAACATAATTGTTGATTCCATAAAATATATATTTCTGTTAATTCATTTGGGCTTTGTTGAAGAATAAAATATAATGAGTAACCATTGTAAGTATTTAAATAATAGGTGGTTTTGTAATCATGGTTTTTGTGACTTGGATAACTTAAGGTTAATTTTACAGTCAAGTTTAACATAAAACCATGATCGTTTTGATAAACAAAACCTTTACTATTTTCCATGAAAAGACTTGGGTATGGATGAAGATGAAGAAGAGGCTGTCCCTTTACCCAACGTCAATTCTGCTATCTTAAAAAAAGTGATTCAATGGGCAACATATCATAAAGATGATCCCCCTCCACCAGAAGATGATGAAAACAAAGAGAAGAGAACAGATGATATCAGTTCATGGGATGCTGATTTTCTTAAGGTTGATCAGGGCACCCTTTTTGAATTAATACTGGTGAGAGGATATTTACATATTCAACTATTTCATTTATATACTTTGTATAACAAAAAAAACTATTTTAGAATAGTAAGGCTTTATAAAAGTCTCAAAAATGAGCCATGAGCTCAAACACTTTCAAAGATATAAAGGAGAATATAGGTGGAAGTATATGGTAAAATGTATAACATTTTTTAAATGGGAAGTAATAATCAGGGTTAAGGTATTACTAACCAGTCAAAGGATAAGGATTGCGTACCCTCTCGCACTGTTGCTCGTATGGTACATAGCATATCATATTTTGTTCCACTTTAGTATTTGAAATTACCATTTTCTTATTACTGAGATGGAATTATCTTATTTTTTTTGATATCACCATTTATAAACGTGGTGAGATGTAGAGAGTGCTTGTAAACCTTAACATAGTTTACAAAGTAAATTGTCTGTCTGGTCCTTTAGGAAATGCTGTTGAATCTATCAGTATTCAGCTAATGTCTTTATTGATTTTTTTTCTTAATTTTAATTATCATATAGAAACTATCAGTAATATTCCAATCGGAATAGTTCCTGTTTATTCTCATGTTTCCTACTGTTCATCCAGTTTCTGCAACACAACATCTGTTTCATTGTATATGAATCTAAGTTAGAATTTAACCATTTATAGTGGTGCTTTGTAAAAAGCTGCTGAACATCCCTGCAAATGTCTTTATCTTAAATAGCAGAAGTCGTACTAAAGACCAGTTAGCTGGTGAGACAGTAAATCCCTTTTTTGAAAACTATTGCTGTTACCATGTTCTGGTTTAGAAGATTTTCTAATTGAACTTTAACATTCATTTATAATACTTTACAAACAATAGAAATGAAATAAATGTTTGTAGTTACTTAGATCTGTCACTTAACACTTGTTTTTATGAACTACAATTACATTGGCACTTGTCCAGTTAAGAGAAATTTACCCGTTGTCTGGAAAATTTTCAAAAACTAGCCATAAACGCCCTTATTAATTTGCCACCCTAGATTTTGGGATATATCTCATCAGGGCAAAGTAGCAATAAACTCCCTCATTAGTTTGTCACCATAGATTTTTGGATACGTCTCATCAGGATTTGAATAATTTAAATTTTTTTGGTATAACGGCAGTTTCATTCACTAAAGGAAAAGTTTCTTTGCTATTAAACAAAAGTAGTAAAGTGTCTACCTTAAAAACACAAGTTAAAGTTGTAAAGCATTACTCTCCTATGACCCCTTCCCATCACTACATTCATGCAAGTATCTCTGAAGACTTTCTATTTTTCCTTAATTTCACATGTATATAAAAACCCACTATCAGCTTTGATATTCTGGGCTAAAAAGATTCATGGTCCTTGAAAGCTTTAATAATGGTTCTATTATCTTTTCATTTATCCATATATATATACCTCATTATCTTCATCTTCACCACTATGAAATATTAGCACATCAACTTTTTCTGTTCATTCACATAGAAATGTAATTTTTAATGTAATGTTAGGTTCTTATTAGATTAAAATATCATTTTAATAAAACTAGTGAGGGATTCTGAAAAATTATTTCCAACTTTTCATGGTTTATTTCAGAAAAGCTTCACTGACTATTTAGAAACTGTGTGTGTGTACGTATACTGTAATATCATTCATTCATGGATTCTTAGAGTTGGTTAATGGAATAAGCAAACTTCAATGACTGTGAAATAGCTTAGACCCACTATTATAGAACACCACATGTATATGAATGTTGAAGAAGACACGTGAAAGTGTTAAACCATGTATCTGTATAAATTTGTTGTTCTGTAATGGTGAATCTAAACCTTATTTAAGACTACACAGTAATGTGTATTTACATACTTTCACTGACTGTATATAATTTAAAACTAAAGATATTTTGCTTTGTCTTTCCAAAAAGGTAAAGTACATATTAGTAACTTGTGATATTTTATGTTACCTTAATATGTCATTTCTTTTTCATAGGCTGCTAACTATTTGGATATCAAAGGTTTATTGGATGTTACTTGCAAGACTGTTGCAAATATGATTAAAGGGAAGACTCCAGAAGAGATTCGAAAAACATTTAATATTAAAAATGATTTCACACCAAGTGAAGAAGAACAGGTAAGAACTGAAAACTTCGTAAATTACTGACCTGATTGTATGTTTGTGTATGAAATTATCTTTATAGTAGAATATTACAGTTCTTGGTTTTACTCTATGTTGATTAGTGAAAGTAGTCTGGTACTTTTTAAAAGGTAATCTCTTTACGATGAGGAAGCTAACTGATGTTTTAATCAAATTGAGGAAGGTCCATCATATTCTTTGTCACCCTCCCTATAGTAATTTACTCCCCTTACCAAATTGGAATTTTTATAGATTTTATAAGAAACTTTCCTAATTAAATATATTATAGTTCCTTGGTATAATCCACTGAGAAAATCTTTACAAGTTTGATTTTAGCATTTCAATTCAGTTAACTTGTACAGTGTAGAAGTGGTTCAGTCCTACTACCAAAACAAAGTTGTAATACGTCTATCCAAAGAGAAATAGTAAAGATGTGTTTAAAGATTGATCTTTAATAGTCTTAGTTGTCATGAAGGTAAATTACTATGAAATTATAAATATTACTGATTCATTTCTTCAAATTCTGTCTTGAGGCAACTCTTAAGCTTCAATTTTTATTGTTTTTACATTATAAAAAAAAAAAAGCTGAAGTTTAGTCTTGCCCCTATTGGACTGGGTTTAAACACAGAAAAGCTGTGCTTCATTATTGGTATTTTCACTATAATATCTCCAAAGTGCTAGTTCTTAGTATAAAGGAATGGCAAGGACTACCAAAGGTGTGTGCGTGTGGTTGTTGTTGTGTTTTTTTTGGCAAAGAACTTAAACTTTGTTCTTAAATCAGTTCTATTTCCTACATGGTTTCAGTATTAACCATTAGACAATGTCATCCACTAGTAAGACTTTACATTGTCCTTTTAGTGTAAATGTATACTCATGGTCATATTAAGAATTAGAAAATTAGTGTAATTTTATTTATATATGATTTGGAATCCCTAAAATTCTTCTTTAGTTACATCCACAATACCTGTTGGAGTAATTGTGTACTACTCTGTATTGTAATCACAACTTACAGGTTTATAACCTGCAATAGCAGAGATTGTATGTAGTAGTTTTCCTTTTGTTTGTCTACAGAAAGAAGTCTTGGTCATTCTTTCATTGAATTTTATTTAAAGAAAGTTGATTAAAAGTGAAGATTTTTTTTTATGAATAACACTGTTCTAACTGTACAATTTTAATATACATCTATTTAATACAAGTATTGCCATCTTCACTTAGAATTAGTTTTTTAAGCTTTGTACATAAAACCTTAATTTCATTCCACTTAGTACTTTAAAGGAAACAAATTTATGCATTGAGACTGTCACTGCTGTTGTATGATGTATTGGTAAAAATACTCAACTTGTGGTTATTACTGTTGGTCATCAGGGTGTTTTCTGATCTTGACCATTATTTGGTTCACCTAATGTGCAAAGAAGGAGAGAAAGGGGGAAAAAATGTTACACTGACTAGTGAAATACTATTTTCAAAGTAGTTTATATGATACACTAGGGAAAATTATATTCTTGTTAGTGTGCCTATTGGCATCCAGTTGTCTTTTTTTATATACTATTTTTTTTATCTTACTGACAAGTTTTGAAAAACTAATGTTAGTGTTTGAAAGTTCAAGAGAGAATAATAAGTAGAATAATATCACCGAAATATAAAGTTTTCGGGAAACATTTCAAGCCTTGAAAAGAGACTGCTCAAAATGTGACCCAAGAAGTTTACTTTGGTGATACCATAATTACAGAATACTTTAGATAACTTTTATTTATTAGAGCCAGAGGTATGTTAATTTGCAGTGATTAAAAATCTAACATAATCTAAACACCACTACAAATGTTTCAGTTACTCTTTGAGTTCCAGCATACTTACTTTATTGAATGAGTATCATTGAGTTCCTGTAGACTTCACTTATAAGCTAAAAAACACCACTACAAATGTCTCAGTTACTCTTGAGTTCCAGCATACTTAGACTTTATTGAATGAGTATCATTGAGTTTCTGTAGACTTCACTTATAATCTAAATGACACCACTACAAATGTTTCAGTTACTCTTCATTTCCAGCATACTTAAGACTTTACTGAATGAGTATCATTGACGAGTTCCTGTAAACTTCACTTGTAATCCGAACACTACTACAAACATTTGTTCCTGTAGACTTCATAGTTTTTTTTTCTAAATAGTCTTGCCACAAATTGATTGGGTGTGTCTAATACTAAATGAGCCACAAACAAAATATTCTATCAATACTGCAGTTAAATCCTTTATTTGTGGGGCTACTCCATATTTTTACTGTTGTAGCTTGTTAAGAGATGATGTTGTAATAGTAATACCCAAAATCTGGTGTAAAGTAATTGTATTTTGTAAAAGTTAAGTAAGATTAGAAAAATGCTTACACTTTACATTACATTGTTTTCTGATGATAAACATTATCAAACTTGATTAATAGTTAAAAAAAACATTTCTTTACAACTGATATCATTAAGTGCTTTACTTTGTAAGTATGATTTAATTAATGAATAACAGTTGTAGTAGACTAGTGAAGTATAAGGTTAATCTAAGGTTTTGTCTTCTTCAGGTGAGAAAAGAAAATGAGTGGTGTGAAGAAAAGTAGAACACTTGGAGGAGTCCAACAAGTGTCCCCATGTATTATGTTGTATCTGTATTTCAGTAGTTACTAACCTCAAAACATCAGACTAAAATCATATATGTTTTGTTAGTTAAACTTTGTAGTATGCTGAACCACAATTTTTAGTGATTTCAAAACAATTACATAATTATCAATAGTGAGAAAGAATATTTGGGGTGCCCTGGTGTACATAGCAAGCTTAAATTATATCATACTTCAATCCAGCTGGCAGTTTGTTTTTTGCTGTACTTTTAATGCTATGCCACCACCTATATACATGTATCACTTATGGATAGTTTCTGGTTCACACCTGAAGTTTTTATTCTTGTGATGTGCAAATTTTGAGTTAACTGTTAATCCAAATTTCTTGGATTATTTGATACTTTGGCCTGTAGGAAACATGACTACGTTTAAATTTAAGCAGTTTAGTTGTAAACACTTTACTGTAATTTCAGCACTGGTAATAAACATTTTCCATTATACTAGTTCTTGTACTTACTGTTTTTGACCAAACAGCAATGTGTTTTCATACTCATTATGTAAAAGTGTTTGAAAAAACAACAACAATTTTATAGTGAAATTTCAGTTGTTAGATTGTTTTTACTAGAAGTGCATAATACAAATATTACTATCCAGTATCCCTTCCATTATTTTAGCTTACTTAAAGGTTATAATCAACATACTTATTTGACTACTTACCCAAGTGGGTATGGGTGAAGCATATCCTTTTAGTATTATTGAAAGATAATGTGGTAGATAGGTTTACTTAGCCTTATCACCATTCACATGTATTGAGTGCAACGTGTGATACTCAAATTAAGCCATCTTCTAATCTCATACATTCAACTTAAACAGCCAGTTCCTATTGCCACGTTCACGAGCATCAGCTGTATAATACTTAAGATACTCAGTGTTGTATCCTGTGAATCGCATGTGATGCACAGGATGGGGTTAAGTTAAATTAACTTGCTTCATTACCAAAGAAAATATTATACAGAGAGTTAAGTATATTAAAGTGAAACCCACAGCCAATATAAATTGGTGGAACAGTATGTATCAGAACTATATTTTGGCATGTTGTAGGTAGTGTGATGTCACCAAAGATGGATCACTTTCAGAAAGTGTATGTAACAGCCCTTTCTGGGGCAAAATATTCATACATTTGGATTATAAATGTGTGTTCAAATTGAGGTTTTATAATTTAAGATAGTGATAATTTTTGTATTTAATGGTATTGGAAAACAAAGGAATGGATCAACTTGGTAAACGAGGAACATCCAGTAAGAGAACTGCAACAAGTCGTACCTCAGCTGTATTAGGCAAAGTGCAGCATCTTGCAACAGGTGAGAATCCATGAACACACAGGTTGTTTACAAAAGCCATACAGGTTTTAGGCAATAGTACCCAATGCAACCAGAATGGTCTTCATTTAACATACTCAACTTTTGTATACAATGTTATTCTTACTTTTTAGGCATGATCATAAAATACTTGGTTTTCAGTTATATCTCAGTTTGAATAGTATCATAATACTTGATGGAGTGTAAAAAATGTGGAATGGTATTTTCAACAAAACCTTAAATTTTTTATTGACAAATGTTTAGATAAACTCTTCATTATATAAAGTGATGCATATCATTACTTCTGGGTTATAAAACTAACCTTAATTATTTTAAGGTTTGGAACTGTAAAACATGACTAAGTTTTAGACATTCAAACATTAGAGATAGGTATTTAATATGATTACATTAGTGTCAGTTAAAATAATTAATATAAATTATAATTAAGTTGACTGATATCACAAAAATAATAAACTATAAAAAATTAGTTTACAATAATCAAAATTAGTGTTTCTGAATGTACCAGATCTAAGTCTTAATAAATTTTGCTAGTTACAGATCCTGTGTTTAATTGAAACTGCATTAGTCTGGCCTATGATA